GTTCAAAACAAATGTTCGCGGAGCTTACGCGAGGATAACATATTGAAACGAACCGACCTGAATCCGTGAAGCTCTTGAACGTGTTTCAGGCTTTGTGCGCGGCGTTGGTGCGACAATCGTATTTTGTAAACGACCCGCCCTCCATCTGTGAAGCTCTTTGCACATGTGTGATACGAATGCGCGCGGCGCTGAGGCGAGGGTCACATGTTGAAACTCAAATCCCTCCACGCGTTAAGCCCTTGCAATCTGTCAAACAATGCGCGCAACACGAAGGCGAAAAGCACATGTTGCAAACGACCCGCCCTACATCCGTAAAGCTCTTGCAAAGTTTAAAACCCACATGCGCGGCGCTAGGGCGAGAACCACATGTTCGAAACCGCCCGCCCTCCATTTGTGAAGCTGCTGCCACTTGTTAAGATTCAAGATCGCAAACCGTAAAGGGGGTCTCTGGCGCAACGACCAGCCCGCCATTCCGACTGGCTTCGGGCTGCGACAGTGAGGAATTACGCATCAAGAAAAGGAATGGAGGAGGAGGAGGGAAATCAGGAGAGGGACGGGGAGAAGGAGGAGTGGTAGGAGGAGGAGGAGGAGGAGGAGGAGGAGGAGGAGGAGGAGGAGGAGGAGCATGATGAGGAGGCAAAGACGAGGACGGCAGGAGGGCCTCGGCCAGGGCGATGAGGAAAAGGCTCGGGGCGAACTCAGCAGTCTCTTCTGCGGGGTCCTCCCGTCGGAGAAATTCAAGCTTCCAGCCATTACACGGACGGAAGCTGGTTCGTGTTCTCAGCCGCCTGGGGCTTCCTCGGAACCGTATGGCCCGAACTTCGATATCTCATTCATAGTAGGCGAGTGGAGTGCGGCTCATCTTTAAGATGAGGCTCTTGCTGGCGACTCCTCCTGACCTCTTGACCAGACCTACAGAATTGCGCAACACCTTCACTGATGGAGGGCAATTCATTTTCATGCAAGGACTATGGCTGGACACTGTCTCTTGAAATTTAGCAGCCCACCTCAGCGCGTATCCTTTTCCATCAAGGAATTGGATATCATTCTTCTTTACGCAACGGGGTATCGCCTGAGTCGCAGGCTGCCCGACATCTCCTCGGACTTGTGAAGGGAGGGTGTGTTGCAGCATCGCTGACGCATCCAAGCCTTGCTCCAACCCTCTTCCCTCCCCCTTCTCTCCCGCTTATGCCGCCCGGTTCCTGCCCCTCCTGCTCGTGCCATTCCTACCCACACTCCCACCTTGCCGTATCGTATCATGTTTCTTCTTTGCTCTGGCTGCGAAGCCAAATCGGGACCGCGAAGCCTGCCTCAGTCAGTGCTTCGATACATTACCTGTCCACCCAAACATACCGTCCACCACCCTCCCCTTATAATCCTCCTTCTCCGACAAACGTCGTGCGGGCGACGTCACGTGTGCATCCGTCGCTCAACCGGAGCCGACTGGAAACGCAATCCCAACGGCACAGGCCAAAGCCCTCTCGACAATAACTCGCACTTGCCCGCGTCTCTCTGACGAGATGCGTCGTGTCCGCGCCGCACCTGGGATGCGCCTGCAGGGTGACACGAAAGCGGAATGGGGGGGGGCTCTAAATGGAGCCCGCGGGAAGCCTGCGTGCCAGGCGGAAACTCGCAGGAGCAATCCTCAGCCCAGCGGGTCGGGGCAACCAGGCCGCGCGTCACTCATTGTTGTCTTCGTTGAGCTCTCACTTCGGACAAATACTACATGTTGTTGGCCCCCCCCCGCGTGGGAGTCGCGACATCGCCTGCTGGTTTTGCACATTCTACGAAGGAGTCGCGATTTGAGGTCCCGCCTGCCCGACCCATCGGATAGGGTCCGCCCGCCCGACCCGCCCGGACGGGCCCGCCTGCCCGGCCCGGCCGTCAGGGCCCTCTGGGCCCACCCGCCCGATCCGCCCGTCGGGACCCGCCCGCCTTGATATCCCGCCCGGCGAGGCCCTGCCGCTCCCTTGCCTGGGAGCCCGCTTTGCTGCCCCGCTCCAAGGTCCTCCCGCCCGACCCGCCTGTTAGGATCCCGCCCGTCCGACCCGCCCATCAGGGTCCGCCCGCAAGGACCTGCTGGCCCGTCCCAGGCTCGGCTGCCTTCGCGCCCCATCCACAGGACCCAGCACCCCTCCTTCGTCTCCTGCTTGCTTGGGGGGAAAAGACAGGCACCGGTGCCGCTACTCCACGGACCTCTCCCGGGGTGCGTTCTGATCACAAGCTCTGGAGGAGAATCTGGCCGCGGCGACGAGAGCTCTCCAGGACGATCGGCGGTATCAATACCTTCTCCTCCTCCCCCACTGCAGGATGGTTCCGGAACCGAACCGAAACCGGCCGAACCGAACCGGGCCGAATTGAACTGGCGCGAACCGATGTTTCTTTGCCAATGGGAACCGAACCGAACCGAACCGGAAAATTGCGGCACCGAACCGAACCGAACCGAACCGGGACTCCGAACCGGGCCAAACCTGCCCCCGCCGAACTGAAGTTTGGGGCCCCTTTGGGGTTTGGGGCCCCTTTGGATCTCCTTCGGGCCTCTATAGGGTTTGGGACCCCTTTGAGACCCCTTCGGGGCACCTTTGAAGTTTGGGCCCCCTTTGGGGCCCCTTTCGGGTTTGGGGCAACTTTGGGGCCCCTGCGGGGCCTCTTTGGGGTTTGGGGCCCCTTTGTGGCCCTTTGGGGTTTGGAAGCCCTTTGGGGCTCCTTCGGGGCCCCTTTGAGGTTTGGGGCTGGCCCCTTGGCGGTCCATTTGAGGTTTGGGGCCCCTTTGGGGTTTGAAGCCCCATTAGAGTTATGAGATGAACTCCCTCTACAGAAGCCAACATGGCATCTTGAATACTTTACTCCGCAAGTACTCTGCGGGGTACTCTGCGGCCCGTTCGCGTTTTTATTTAAAGTACTCTGCAAGTACTCTGCGGCGCCAGTCTTTCTGGCATTTTTTTTATGACCTAGAAAATGTACTATGCATTTTTTTTCCTGTCCTGGTTTGCGACGGCTTCTCATTTTGTGTGATGGCCCGTGACGACAGCGCCAAGGTTTAAACAAAAAAGGAGGAGGTAATCTATGAGGGTGTATGGAGGATCGGAAAAGGGCGGCTCACGTAAGGGGGGATGTAGGAGGGACGAGGACGTGAAACAGTAGACGGTGATAGTGCGTGCGGGAGGCATGGGTTGTGGTAGCAGGGTGGCAATATCATCGGTGGAACACAGAAATGTGGAGGGGGGTTGGCGTTCCGCCAAATTCGCTTGCAGCTACATTCATGTGTTCAGTGATATTTGTTTGTTATGGTTGCCTTGGGGCACCTTGTCGGCGCGGTTGGACGCGGTCCGAGTGGACTGTGGACCCCCCCAGTGGGCCACGAACCGCGTGAGGGATGTGCCGAAATGGGCGGCGGGCTGCATCGGTAGAACAGTATCACCAGCAAGCGCAACACCATCGTGCAAACACAAAACACAGAGGCAGACTCGTTCAAGCCGTTTTGGCTCCATGTTGAGGCGGGGCTCCTCTGCGCACCAGCGGTGCAGGGCCGCATGCCCGCCCCGCCTAGGAAGCGCGGGCGTCCATCTTTGTTGAGACGAGTTCTTGATGAGGACACCGCGGGTGCTTCGTCAGACTGCGATGCCGACCACGCTGCGCGAGGTGCTGCTCTCGTGCCCAGGCGTGCCCGCAAACACCAGGAGAAGGCTCCAACATTGGCGACAGTCCCGAAATGCCTCATCGCACACCCGCAGAGAAGCCTCTTGCCTGTTCCGTCGTTTGAGCTGGGGGCTTTCCTGTACGCCAGTGTCAACGAGTTTCAGTGCGGACATTGTCAGTTTCTCCAGCCGCAGCTGATAGAGCTTGCCAAGGGATTCTTGTGTGCGCCCAGTATATACAGCATCAGCAGGACACTTACGACAGCGGGCCATGATCTTGGAATGAATTCAGACTGGGTGTCGACACAACGGCGGAGGATTGCATCATCAGGGATGTTGGTCGAGCGAGACCGTCAGGTAGCCTTGCAGGTCCTCCTCCTCATCCTCCTCCTCCTCTTCCTCCTCCTCCTCCTCCTCCTCCCGTCTTACCTCCTACCTCCTCCCTCCTAGCTCCTCCCTCGTCCCTCCTCCCTCCTACCTCCTCCGTCATACGTCCTCCCTCCTCCGCCCCCCCTCCCCCCCTCCTCCACCCGCGCGCCCGAGAGGTCCTTCTCGGCAAGGCAGTTTCAGATGACGTTGAGCTGGTCGCGGTCATTGAGAGCGCGAGGTACGACGAGGCGACCAATTTGATGACGGTGAGACAAGATAGTGGCATCCCAGAGTTTCAGGACCATGTGAATACTGCCCTCGATCGGCTGGGCAAAGTGACTGGTTTCAAAGAAACGGCCCCAGCAAAAATATTCCAGACTCAGCACGCTCACGGATTTCTATTTTCAGTTCGACAGCCAGGGTCTGAGTCCAGACAGTACATTATCATACGGACAAACACAGTTGGTTTACCAAGCGTTCTTCAGCGAACAACGGCGTCAATCATAGCTCAAGCTTTGAAGAAGTCGAGCAGTCTGAGATGTAGGGCGGTCGCTGCTGCTAAATGCTCGGTCCGCTTGATTTGCAGCGACCGCTACGCCGCGCAGTTCCTGGCGGAGTCGTGGCTGCAGGCCGATCGGCCTGGATGGTGCCGTTTACACATAGGTTGCGAGATACACAAGTCGACGGCCTGCCAGGCGAAGGGTTTGTTGTTGGCTGAGTGGTGTGTGTCTGGCTGTATTCGGGTATCTTTGAGCTCACGTCTAGGTGGATGGATGCGAATATTCAGGCAGTGCTTGCTTCAGGAAATATCTTCAACCATTTGTATCAAGCAGGGGTGTTGCCCACCAGAGGCGACCAGACATCGACAGATGTGTTTGCGGGTGTACGCTGGGCACAACGTCAGACGCCAGAGAAAGCTTCAATGTATCATGCAATGCCTTCCCAATGGTGATTGGACTCGCACGGACTGCGTTGAGGTGTACCTACAGCCAGGTGTTGCATACGACCAGAAGAACGTTGCTGGCCTCGTCGCAAAGGGTCTGATGTTGTGCCTCGCTGGAAACATGTTTAAGATATTCAACAGAAAGCGTTGGACAGACAACGACGAAGCCGTGAATCAGCTTGGGCTCCTGCAGGCTTGCCACGGGCTTCTGGCTAGAGTGTTCAAGCGGTGGCTCGTGCAAGCTGGGTACAACGGCAATCTGGACATCGGGGTTGGCGACCACCCGAGCAGACGCGACAGACCTGCACTACTGGACCCAATAGCCGACGACGTCGATCCTGCTGCTGGCCTCGTTGGACCTCCCGAAGTCGGCGACGACGGAGGTGGTGGTGCCCCCCCAGGAGGTGGCGACAGAGGAGCGCCTGCCAAATCTTCAGATAAACAAGACGCGTACGCCGAGCTGAACGCCAAGAACCGGAGGATTGCTCTGCGTTGGTTGAACGGGGAACCTACCAGCGACCTTCTCGTCATCAGGTTGGCGATGGAGCCATCCATGATGGTATTGCGGCAGCAACTGCGCATCGGTTCAGCATCGTGGGAGAGGTCGCAGGCGATACATGCTGCAAGTGGAGGCGCTACGAATGGGCAACGAGATTACAGAATATTGGTTTCCGCCAGGGGCGATCTAGACACGCTGTTCGCCGACGCCACCCGCCAGTTCATGACAACCGAGGGGTCTTTCTGGGTGGTGATGCCTGAAAGCAGCATCACTGAGTATTGGAGGTGCTTGGCGTTCAGAATGGCAAGCAGGGCGGCTGCGGAGTACACGAGGCTTCTGACGTTTGTTCACAAGAGGCCGCCTTTCTTGTTGTTTCTCAGTGTGCACTACCCCGCCGTCGTGTTGCAGCTGAGGCAGTTGCCCCGCTGTTTGCTGGACCCCTTCACGAAACACATCATGGACACATTCGACTTAGAGTCTCCAGAGCTGAAAGGGTTCCTGACGCTGCTCATGCTGATGGGGTACACGGACACTGCGGAGATCGAGTGCTGGCATGCTTGGGTGCGCCGCTTCCTCATTCGCAGGGGCGCCCAAGCTCACAGGCCAGAGTTTGGGGACGTGAACGCAGAGGCCTTCGCCCACAGGCTGAAGGTTCGGAGCCTTGAAGTGCTGGAGTGGCTGCACGCCGACGCAGTGGGCCAGTACCATGCAGCGTTCAACGTGGGGGGAGATGGCGATGAAGATCCACCCAGCAGCAAGGCCAAGCAGAAGCAGAAGCGCGGCGGAGGTGGCGAGTGGAGGGCGTTCGTCAGCAGCCAGCTTCACCAGGGCATTACGGACTTCCATGAGATATCACTCCGCTACTTGGTACGGACCGAGGCAGAGAGGCATGACAACATTCGAGCGGGGGCTGTCGGCACAGATCTACACAGACAAGGGCAGCGTGCATTCGGGCCGACACTGAAGGATCGGCGTGCGCAGGATTTGCACACCGAGGCTATCGCGTTCAACCGCCGACACCCTTTGGAGGATATCGCTTGCGTGTCGTCAGCCCCAGCACCGGCCGCCGTGGAGATGGAGGGCCACACGGAGGACCGAGTGCAACATATGATGGCTTTGGTTACCGCAGTCTGCAAGTTGGACCATCAGCGGCGCCAATGGCGTGAAGAGCGGGGCGCTGCGGTGATCAAGGAGTTTGTCAGGACACAGTCAGACGAGCTTCTACGAGAAGTGGTATCTCGCATCAAGGGGCTGAGCCCTTGGGCTGGGAAGCTCGTGGCAAAGCCTGTCCTGAGGCTTCCAGGGCTTGATATTACTTGTTGCGATGCCTGCTTCGAGACTGACCTCTTCACTTTCTCTACTGCCAAGATGCTTGCTACTGCCCCGAGAGCTGGAGGCAATTGGGCGGCAGCCTTGGATAACCATTGGACGGCCAGCCACAGGCCAGTGTTCGAAGGCGAGTGGCGCGGGCCTACGACGTGCGATGACACACAGACGCAATGTTATAAGTACGGATACTGTGTATGTAGCAAGCCAGGCCGCAAAGTCTTGCGATTGCGCAACTCCGTGCTGACAGCGATCAAGGAGTTCGGCCCCATGCGCTCTGACAAGCGGGACATGCTGGTTGATGGCTTCATCGTGATGCGCCTCACGGGCACCCCCGTCGACTCCGTGTTCGCTGGACTTGATGACCCAGAGCTCGAAGCAGCGGACTCGGTTGTGGTATGGTGGCATATTTCTGAACTGCTTCTTCTTCCATATCTTCCTGTTGTTCAGCCGATGGACTTCGCTTTCGATGGGGACAGGCATGGCGCACTTGGCGGTGGTGCAGTTACGTTACAGGCAGCTCGGAGAGGGGGAGGAGGAGGAGGAGGAGAAGGAGGAGGAGGAGGAGGAGGAGGAGGAGGAGGAGGAGGAGGAGGAGGAGGAGGAGGAGGAAGAGGGGGGAGGGGAGGGCAGGTCGGAGTGGCGTTGGGGCCCGCGCGTGCGCCCGCAGGCATGCTGCGAGTACTTGGTGGACTTCGAGGCCTTCGCGGAGCTGGACATCGAGAACTACACCTGGAGCTTGAAGTTCTACAGGCTGTGCCAGACTCCTGTTCAGCTGCCGCGGTGGGAGTTCATTCTAAAGTACCAGCGTGCCCTGCCCGTTGATTATGAAGAAGTTCAGGTGTGGCCACCCCCGTGGCGCCCCCGACCCCCGAAACCTGGTCGCGGGGGCAGGGGTCGGGGTGGCCGTGGCCGCGGAGGGGGCAGAGTCATAGGCGGACGGGCAAGAGGTCCAGGGGGCCGAGGGGATCCAGCACCCATCATGGACGATGACCCTGGAGGCCCATCTGATGGCAGCGATGGTGGCGCCCCTCTCGAGGATGTCTACGACGACGACGGCCCTGGCGCGAGGGCCGATCCAGCCGTCGACGAGGGGGGCGAAGGCCCTGGGGGGCCTCACGAGGACCCAGAGGAGGTGCTCATTCCAGACGATCTCCAGGAGACGCGGCCAGTTGCGCTTCGCCCATACCCGCACCCCTCCAGGTTGAGGAGGAGGGGGATGTAGGAGGAGGAGGAGGAGGATGGGGGAGGGGAAGGGGGAAGAGGAATATGAGGAGGGGCGAGGATGATGATGATGAGGGGGAGGAGGAGGAGGAGGAGGAGGAGGAAGAGAATGAGCAGGATGAGGAGGAGGACCACCAATGTCCAAAGACATCGATCCCCAATCCTCTTGGGTCGAAGTTCCAAACTTCAGAACTCCCAGGGACCGCTCAAGGCTGAACGCATCCTCGGCGTCAGAATCCAACGCCCGAGGGGTCTAGGTTTTCCGAGCGCTCACTACGTCAAAAGGCCTCCCGCCCGCCCGCTTACCCCAGGAGGAGATCATACACGCGGAGTTTCTCGAAGAGGAGCCACCACCGCCCGACGAGGCTGATGATGGCGATCAGGCCGACGGAGACGGTGGTCCCGACGTCGAGGGCGACGACGGCGGGCACGGGGACCTGCTCGCGGGCGACGCTGGCATCCTCGTTGGCGCCGGGGGCGCCGCGGCGGCAGCTGGTGCAGCTCACGACATGGGTGCAGCCGCAGCCCCTCCCGCGGGAATTGATCATGGCCCTCGGGGCCGTGCAGACGCTATTGCATATGTAGGCGGTGGCAAGATATCGCTCTATTTACGGAGTCGTAGATTTGAGGCTGTTTGTGCAAATCCAGACCATGGAGTCTGCAAGAAGGCGCGAGTGATTGAGTTCAGCCACTTGGCTCCGAGGCCCCCTCTAGCTTATTTGGCCGCGTGGCTCGGCAAGGGCCACGTGGCATCGAAACCTGCGCACTGGTCAGCTGAGAACGAGCCAACGGATGCTGAGATCAGAGCGGCCAGGGACGACTTGAAAGCAAACGCTGACCCCAACGTAGTCGAACTTCTCGAAACGGAGCGGCGCGGGTACCCCGATGCTGGTCTGTAGAAGTTGCATGTTTCTGAGTTTTTTGTTGGCAGAGCCGAGCGCAACCAGCCATTTTGGCAAAGCGCCTCTTCGGATCCCTTGCCTATCCGTGTCAGCTATTCATTCCTGCCTTACCCCCTCCCCTCTCCTTCCACGCGAATGCGGGGTCGGCGAGGGAGTGGGGGGAAGACAGGCGCGGGGGTGACCCGCCTTTCAGGGCCGACGAGGGAGCTAGCAGCTAGCATCAAAATGCAAACCCAAAAAGTGCGAGGCTGTGCAAATGAGGATGCGGGAAGGGGGCCGAGGGATAGGGCAGGGAGGGACGAGAGGTGCCAGGTCCAAAAGGGGGTACTCGAAAACGCCCCCATCTTCCTCCCCCTCCCCCGCTGCCCAACCTCCTCTCAGGATCCACCCCACCTACCGCCCCGTTTGTTGGCAGAGAGCTCGGTCCACGATGCCACCGATGCGACTTCGAGGCAACGCCGATGCTACTTACGTCATACCCCCAGGAAAATGATCTCCCTCGTTCGCACCCTCCACATCCTTGCTGGCTGGCCCTTTGCGATAACGTTGCGGCCCGCCGCCCGAGGTGACCTCGGGGCGGCAGAGTTTCTGCAGAGCACGCCTGCGCCAACTTTCGAGGGGACCTCGCCCCGCAGACTGCTTGGCCGAGTGCGCCCCGACCGAGGTACTCCGTCGGAGTACTTGCCCGACGGCGCTCCGACCAAGGTACTCTGCCAGAGTACTTGCTCGCCCCCCCCCCCCGACCGAGGTACTCTGCCAGACGACCCCCCCGCCCGCAGAGTACCTGGCAGAGTACCCTGCGCCCCCACCCCCCCGCGCAGAGTACCCCGCAGAGTACCCCGCAGAGTACTTGCAGAGTACTTTTCCTCGAAAAAAGTACTCTGCAAGTACTCTGCAAAGTACTCTGCAAAGTACTCTGCAAAGTACTCTGCGCGGGGGGTACACTGCAAAGTACTCTGCAAAGTACTCTGCACGGGGGGGTACTCTGCACAGTACTCTGCGGGGGGGAGTCCTCTGCAAAGTACTCTGCACTGTACTCTGCGACCCGATGGGGCTGGGGGGGGTGCTCTGCAGGGTGGTCTGCGGCCAAGGGCGTCGCCGAGAGGTGCCCTGGCAGAGTACGTGGAGCCCAGGGCGAGGCCCAAGGAACAGGAGTTGCTGCCGTTCTACTCGACCCCTCCCCCGCCCGCCCCTGCTCGCTTGCCCACCCTTAGCATCGTCCCCTGCAACCTTGTCGGTTTCAGCACCCGCTCCTCTTCCTGATCACACTCGCCATTGATCCAGCCTCCTCACCAACCTCGAGTAACCTCCCACGTGCCAGTTTGCATTGCGTCAATTCGCAGAGCTCGTGCAGATACTGCTGCAGTGGAGAGCTCGCAGCTCGCTGATTTTGGACTCGTGGAAAGAATCCGTCGGGTCGCTGGTTGATGCGCACGACGGCAGGGGCATGGCCTTGAAGTGGGCAGCCAAGTAATGCGACCAAAAACATGTGTGCCAGAGGCGGAGGAGGAGGATGATGATGAGGAGGAGGAGGAGGAGGAGGAGGAGGAGGAGGAGGAGGGGGATGAGGATGAGCAGGAGGAGGATGCGGTCGAGCAACTCGACGAAGAGGGACATCCTGACACCACGTGTTTTCAAGTTGGCGGGGGAGGAGGAACATGAGAAGGAGGGGGAGGAGGAGGGGGAGGATGAGGAGGAGGAGGAGGAGGAGGAGGAAAAACGATGCGACGCATGCACTGCGGTTCGTTGCGGTTTGAGCGTGCGGGCGGGGGGGTTCTTTGGGAGGGGGGGGGGCTCTCTTGGCCTTCGGATCTCCAGAACTCCAGGCACACTTGGGGCCCTCATGGTCCCACTCGGGCAATCTCGTGGACCCGATGTTGAGCCATCATGTGGCCCATTGGTTGCGGCCATCTGATATCCCAGCTGCTGGAAAGGTCAGTCTCAAGATGTTGCATTCGAGTGATGGTTTCAAGTGCCTTAGATGTTTTGGGCTTCTCCAAGTCTGTCTCTGGGGGATTCACTAAGCTCCTGTCGGGGCTCCATGGGCTCCAGGTAATCTGTCATACCAAGTCAAATAATAACTGCACCAATTTCCGCCCATTTGATGTCTTTGTAAATTGCGATGGCTTCCGCCGCTCCTCCGTGCACCCTCGCCCCGAAGGTAAGCTCTGGGAAGGCGTGTAGCCTGACGGGGTAACATGCGTTGGAATCACATGCCAGCGAGGGCTCGCACGGGGAATCGCTTGAGTGTCCACACGTGACGAAATCATGTCCTACAACATGGGGCACCCTTTCTATTTTCGGTGTCTGCTGCATGGTGGTTTCCTCCAGGTCTTCTCCAGATACGTATTCGTCTTCCTCCAAGAGGCCTTCGTGGAAAGGGCACCAGAGGGCCCCAAAACGGCACAAGAGGGCCCTAAGACGGCTTCTAGAGCAGGCTCCCAAGAGGGCATAACTCCGTCAAATATTTTATACGTGGTTTGGGCTTGGGCTTCTAAGAAGAGAGCCCCGAACACCAAACAATAACGTATATGCGTTGGCGCTGTGCTTTCAAGAGAGTTCTGGTGGGCCCCAGGGTGGCCCCACGAGGGCGCCAAGGGGGGCCCACGAGGGCCCCGAGAGGTGCCCAACATGGCTCCAGGAGATCTCCCATACTAGGACCGCCACAAGGCCGTCTTGGGCCTCCCGAGGGGATGAGCGGCAGTTGCTGTTCGGGTTCCAATGGCCCGTCGGGCCCTCGGGAATCCAAGGGGGCCCATGAGAGCGCCCTTGGGGTCTCGAGACAGCCGCCGCACCCAGAAGAGGGCGAGGTGGGATAAGTGTCACGCTTGACACGCGTGTGCCGTAGTATCCACCGTTGTCCCCGCGTAGCCGTTTTGGCTCGACGCGCAAGCGCGCGTCTTGGCGATAGCGCCAGGTGTTGCAACGACATCACTCGACTACAGACGTTCATACACCACGCAGCGCATCCATGGCGAAGCGGGGCAGGGACCTTACTAGAAAGAAGGGAAAGGCTGCGGCCTCTGGCTCGCGCCGTCGCCAGGATGACGATGAGGATAGCAGCAGCCTGGCTGATTCGCAGCAGCCCAACAAGTGCGCGAAGTCGGGCCGTCAACCACCTCGCTCTGCTAACCCTGGAGCTCCTCCTCGCGGGCCTAAGGTTATGATCTGCACGAGGTGCAAGGAAAACGACAAGGATAAGCTGTTCGCGTTGGACCAGAAGCTGCCCCTTGCACAGCCCGACCAGTGTTGCGACTGCTACTACATTTGGGTGCCCCTCTCGATGCTGCTGCAATGGGATGAGTTCTGCACTAAGTACGAGGATGACGAGGACTTCAGGCGGAGGGTCAAAGCTGCGTCCAAGAACCCCAACAAGATGACGACGTACTACTCAGGCTTCTTCAAGATGGACGTGGCCAATGTGCAGAAGTTTGGCATCGAGCTATCTCGGAACGGCAGCTTCCTCACGGAAGCGCAGGTGAGGGAGGAGTTGGGCCAGACTCCAAAGCAGGCCAAACTCGGAGAACCCGTCCCGCTGGATCTCCCCGATGGCGATTCACAGAGTGGCTACTTGTTCATGAACGCGAAGAGCAAGACCCTGGACGTCAAGGTATTTGCAATTACTTCTGTCGATTCGTCGGCGTTCACCGCCAACAGGGATGACCAGCCCATGAACATCGGCCCCGAGGCGCTGCAGCGAGCTTTCGACGAACTC